CACAATCCAACACAGCCCGCCGCACCCGCCCAAGAGATTGGCTGCGAACAGCACCCGCCCACACCACACCCAGAGATCGCAAGTTAACCACACTACCCGAACAACGGCGAGCGCGAAGGAACCACCGACAGCTTCGGCCCACAGCCGGACGCCACCGCCCGCCCAAAACGTACTGAAAGCGAAGTGCACAGCCTCATCTCTCCATCGAGAAACGCGAGTGAAGAGAGAAACGAATTCACCACCCTTCCAACACGCCCGGACGGACGGAAAGCCTCCACCTGTGCATGGGGGTGCAAAAGGAACACAACCCCTCTCCCCCTTGGGTCCACATCCGCTGGCTGCCGCGGTCACCACCGACAGCACTCGACGCAGGCGAAACCCAGGAGATAAAGGACAGTAGCCTTCGAAGCCCACAACCTAAACGCAGCGGAACCATGACGCAACGCGATCCGTGACGGTGTGCAGCATACCGAGACCACAGGATGGGGGACACGACGGGCGCAAGCTCGCAATCCAAAAAGTCGGGCGGATGACGGGCCCAGCCTCGCGACGCCGTCGGAGGCTGCATCACGCATCCCACAAGTCTCCTGCCTCTCATACGGTAAGCAGCGCGTGCATGGCCGAGGCCACCTGCGCCACCGCTCAATGGCGCGGCTCGGATGGCGAAGAGCGCAGAGCGTCCTCACCAAGTCGTGACACCCCCTCAACACAAATGGAACGCGCCGTTGTGAGTGCGGACACGAAGACGACACCACAACAGAGCCGCAACAGCTCTCCCCGTAAGCTACGGGATGATGGTGCCGAAGCTGAGAGCCGGTGACGGGGACCTCCGCCTCCACACCCTGCAAACGACCGCCAACCGGACCGCCGTCGGCGATCAGGCGCCAATCATCGCAAGACGATGAGCGAGGGTGAACGCAACGATCCACAACCCGGCACCACGGCATAGGAAAGCCCCGACAGCCGCGACCGCCGCCAATGACGACCGAGCGGTCGTGAAATAAGCCTTCCGAGAGAGACAACCATGGACCCGAACGGCACCGCAAAAACGTTCGCTCGACGACCAAAGCACGACTCACCCGTCCCTCGCAAACTGGAAACCACCCAAAGCGTGTGCAGAGAGTCCCYCGTAACTCGAGTACAAGGTCCGAAAACCCACGCCCGGAACGTCGCCTTCGTCGACTGCAAGGGGGCTGCTAAGCACGCAGTCCCCTATAAGAGTGCAAACGGGACTCCGAACCGCCAACCACCGACTGTTTGGCACATCCGGAGGGTGCTCACTGAGCCATCCGCCGAGGGACCTGCACATGTCCCTTTCCAGCAAGCTGACTG